TCAGCTGGCAAGACTCATTTCCTGCAAGATATCCCTGAGGAGAAGCCACATGGACCTACCCTGATGCAGCCCTGAGTGCTGGAGCAGCTGTGTGGAGACCCCTGTCAGCGCTGAGATGCTTACACGTTCACTGATTCGGCTTTCCTCCTGCAATTGGCGTCATAGTGTGTGCTTTGCTCTGATCTTTGTAGATTGGTGTCGGACATATGAGCTAATGTCGGACTTATGGGTTGGGATGCTCTCTTAATGTACACTTACCCTTTATATAAAACTCACTCTTATATACATGTGCGTTTCTGTGGATTTGTTTCTCTAGTCCACCCAGATTGACAGAGGGGAGCTCAAAGGAAGAGCTGGTTTTCTTCTGTTTTGTAATTGCTCTGCTGGTGTAAGAATGGATCAGTTTGTGGATAGTCATCAGGTCAAACGGTTACAGTATGTGCATTTTTCTGCATGTGTATTATACTTTAATAGACGTCCTGGCGGTGTAGTGTTTATGTATTGGGCTGTTCATCACAAGGCCAGCAGTTTGAAACCACCAACAGCTCCTCGGGATAAAGATGAGGCTTTCTACTCCTGTAAAGGTAGCCTTGGAAACTCACAGAGGCGGTTCTACCCTGCTCTATAGGGTCTCCATGAGTCTGAATGGGTGCAATGGCAGTGATTTATTATACTCAAATGAAAATAAAAATAATAATTTGGCCTACAAAGCACCTGAACACAAAGAAGTAGAAATTTGGGGGAGGGGGGAAGGGACAGGGGGCTGGCTGGGAGGGGGCTCTTCTCAGACTTGCTTAGAGTCCCTGGGTGGTGCAAGTGGCTAATGCACTTGACTGCCAATGGAAATGTTGGAGGATCAAGTCCACCCAGAGTGCCTCAGAAGAAAGGCCTGGCGGTCTACCTCTGAAAACTCAGTCAGTGAAACCCCTAGGGAGCACAGTTCTGACCCCAGGGAGTCGTCTTGTATCAGAATCCGCTCAAAGCAACAGGTGTTATTGGTGGGTGTGGCCACGCAGTCCATTCCAAAGGCTCAGCCGAGAGCCCTCTGTAGCAATCGGTGAGCCTCCTCCATGGAGAAGTGATCCAGTCCTGTAAGACGCTTATTTTCATCTTCACAGTGTCTCTGCCAATGTTGCCAAAATACAGACGATGGATGCCCTGAATGACACCCTGGAGAAGGTACGCTGTGGGTGAGGTGACGCACATGCCCGGGTAGACACACGCATTGCCCTGAGCCAGTGTTTACATTTTCCGCCAAGGGCCATTTGGGCATTTATCCCATCGTTCCAAGGCCGTACCTGTCATGTGATGGCGGCAACGGCTTCTCTTTGGCGAGGCCTGTGCCATTAGCTGGTGATTTCAGGACCTCACGTTTCCCACCTCTGATGTACATGAGATGACTCAGCGGGGGTGGGTGGGGGTTCTTGTCTACACAAAGGCTCCCCGTCCTTGTGAAAAGGAAATGTTTCTCCCCGATTCCTCAGGCACCCGTTGAAGAAATCATTTCAAACACAGGTGACGTCTAATGAGAATCATGATGGAGAATAGGCTGAGCAGGACTTCTCAAATATTTGGGGAACAGTGGTGTGCTTTTATAAAAGGCAACCCGTGTAGTGGAAGTTTGTTTGGCTTTGTTTTTGTTTACGCTTTCCTTTCTCCCACAGTGTACCTGTTAAAAAAAAAATCTTGATGTGAGGTGAGGGTGGTGGGAGCAGAGTCACATGCATTAGGGCTAAAGAAAAGCTGGGCATGGGTTGGGTTGGTGGCCATCAAATCGGTTTCTAAAGGGGATTGACCATAGTTATTTTTATTATTACAATGTTCTTTCTTCTTAAGTAACACAAGAAATCCAGAAAACCAAATAGACGGTGTCTAAGTAGGAGGTAACGGTGGGGCTGCTAACAGCAAAGTCAGTGGCTTGAAACCCTCAGCCAATTCACAGGAGAAAGATGAGGCTTTCAAACCCAGCCCCTAAGATTTAGCCCTGGAAGCCCACGGGAGCCGTTCTACTCTGTCCTACGGGGTTGCTTTGAGTCAGAATCAGCTCAGTGGCAGTGAGGTGAACTTGGATTTGTTTTTAGGGGTCCCTGGTGGCAGACGGAGGAGCCCTGGTGCCATAGCGGTTATGTGATAGGCTGCTAACTGCAAAGTCAACAGTTCAAAACCACCAGCCGCTCCGAGGGACAGGATGGGGCTTTCTTCTCTGGTAAAGAGTCCCGGTCTCAGAAACTCACAGGGACAGTTCTGCCCTGTCCTATATGGTCCCTATGAGTTGGTATCACCTTGATGGCAATGAGGTTATTCTTCTCTGGTGGCACGGTTCTGTACAAAGACAAGGCTTTGCACCCCCATAAAGGTTCACCGTCTCGGAAACCCACGGAGGCAGTTCTACCTAATCCTGCAGGGTCACTACTGACTTGATGGTAGTGGGTTTGGCTTTTTGGTTTTGCTGGCACATAGGGTCCCTGGTGGCACTGTGGGGTAGGTACTGAGCTGCTAACTGAAAGCCCAACCATTCAAACCCACTGCCCCATGGGAGAAAGATCGTGCTGTTTGCTCCCATGGAGGTTGGCAGTCTCAGAAACCCTACCCAGAGTCACTAAGACTTCCCTTTGGTGACAGTGGGTAAGTGCTCAGCCACTAGCTATAAGCGGCTTCCTGGGAGAAAGAGCTGGTGGTCTGCTTAGATGAGTTCAAAGACTCACCTGTTGCAATTGGATCGATCCCAATGCATGGCAACCCCATCCAATCGGTCAGGAGCTGAGGGTTTAACTGCTGCCCAGCGAGGGCCCCTTTCTAAAGGTCACAGCCTGGAGAGCCCTGTCTGCTGGGGTCACTACGAATCAAATGGATGTCATGGCACACAACAGCCACTTACTTTAAAATTCTGAAGATCAGCAGAGAATAGCCAAACCCACTGCCATCATGGTGTTTTCAACTCGGTGAGCCCATTAGGGTGCCTGAGGCTGTAATTCCTTACAGTCATCCACAGCCTCATTTTCTCTCACAGAGCAGCTGGTGGGCTTGAACTAGTGACCTTGTGGTTAGCGGGCAAATGTTACCATCAGCACCTGCAGGGTTTCTCAAGTCAACATTGTACTTCTTGAAGGCAGATGCCTTACCTACAAGGGACTGAAGCATCATTCTCTGTTCTATACCCATGTTTATTGAAGGGACAGGCCCAGAGGTCCCCTGTAGAAAGAAGGCTCGGTTCCGCTGCCTAAATCAGAGGACTGAGGACCTTAAGCTCAGCCTGGGAAGAAGATTAGCCTGGTGACGGTGCAGCAGGCCCTCCTGGGGGCCCCCCGCTGGGTATTGACACCACCGCTCAGTAGTCTGTGTTTCCTCATTTGCCAAATAGACATAAGTAATCGCATATGTTTTACGGGCGGTGGTACGGAGCAAAATGAAAATGGTTCATCAGCCAAAGCTCTCAGAACGGTACCTGCCTCAGCAACCTGTGGGGCACTGCTTTCCTGGTCATGCGATGAGAACATGTGTCTGAAATCTAAATTGCTAAAAGAGGCTAGGTCACAAACTTCAGAGCCTCCTTAATGCGAGAGAGGCCTGATTCACCCCATTACATAGATTCGGGGCAAGTCCTAAGTGACTCTTTTGGGCTTGCGAAAAAGTTGGAGGTGGGTGACAGCTATCCTAATGGGGCAACACACGCGGCCCCCGAGTGCACCTCACCTTTTCCGCTCCTGCCCTCTAAATGCCTCTTCCGTGGAGGCAAGAGAATGCCCTCAGGTGTTACTGGAACTGGATAGAACAGACCTGTGCCCTTCGGTTGTTTATCAACTGGAAACAGAATGTGAGTGAGGCCGAAAGGTTCATTGTGTTTGGAGGAGTTCTGCTCTGATACATGGGGTTGTTCGTTTGAAAGTAACTCACAACAGTGTTGGACGTGCGCTGTGATGCCAGTGCCTCTATGGTCTTTTACCTGCATGTGTACAGGTGCAGATGCAATGACGTGCTGCTGTTGCTAGGGATGGTTGAGCCAAGTTTGCAGTCACAGTGATCCCTTGTCATGGAGTAGAACCGCCCCATGGGTTTTCTTGGCTGTAATCCTCACAGAAGCAGAGGGTCAGGTCTGTCTGTCCCGGTGCTGCGGGATGCCTCCCACATTTGGGTTACAACTGAGCCTTTTGTCATTGGGGCCCTGGGGTCTTTGTGTATGATGTAATGATAATCCCCCC